AACTTCTAGTCTTGATTTTTTCTTTTGTCTTTCTATTTTCTGCTTCATTGATTTATTATTGCTCAAATCTTTATTATTTCCTTTCTTCTGGTGACTGTAGGCTTTTCTTGCTGGTCTTCTAATTATTGGAGATGTTGGTTTAAAGTGTTGATTTTGGCTCTTTCTTCTTTTTTGATGTGTGCACTTATTGCTATAAATTGGCCTCTGATCACTGCTTTTGCTGTGTCCCAAAGATTTTTATGTTGTGTTTTCATTCTTGTTTGATTCAAGGAATTTTTGTATTTCAATTTTTATTTCTTCTCTTACCCAGTCTTTCTTAAGGAGGGTGTTGCTCAGTTTCCATATGTTTACTCTTTTTCCATTGATCTTCCTATTGGTGATTTCTAATTTGATAGCATTATGATCCAAGAAGATGCTTTAGAGTATTTAATTTTTAAAAAATTTATTAAGGCTTGCTTTATGGCCTAACATATGGTCTATCATGGAGAATGTTCCATGTGTACTGAAAAAGAATGTGTATTGTACTGTTGTTGGGTGAAGTGCTCTGTAGATGTCTATAAGATCAGTTGGTGGATTGTACTGTTTAGCTCATCTGCATCTTTATTGAGTTTCTTTCCAGTTCTCTCTTTCATTCAAAGTGGTGTATTAAAGTCTCCTACTATGACTGTGGACTCATTTATTTGCCTTTTCAATTCTGTTAAAGTCTGATTTATGTATTTTAGGGCTTTTCCATTGGGTCCATAAATATTTATTATGGTTTTATCTTCTTGTTCAATTGTTCCTTTAGTCATTATATAATGCCCTTCTATTCTTGTATGGTGGTTTTAGTCTGAAAGTCAATTTCATCAGAAATTAATATTCCTAGTCTTGCTCTTTTTTGGTTGCCATTTGCTTGATGTATCTTTTTCCAACTTTTCATTTTTAGTCTATTTTAGTCATCTTTGACTAAAGTGTCTTTGTCTCTAAGCTGTGTCTATTGTAGACAGCATATTAATGGGTTATGTTTTCTTACCACATCTGCAACTCTCCATCTCTTGAGTGGTGCATTTAATCCATTGACATTTAGTGTAATTATTGACAAGTATAAATTGGTAGCTGTCATTTTGTTATGTTTTTCATGGTGTTCTTGATTTTGTTGTTCCATATAATTTTCTATGCTGAGCTCATTATGTTTATGAATCCTGTTATCATGTCCTTTGTTGCTATTGTTTTAGTATTTGCTAAATATTTGTGCTTGCCTTCTTTTTTATTGTGATGTAAAGCTTTATGATTTTTCTTTGAGGTTACTTTGTGATTTATAACTTTCTCCCCAAGTTTAGAACAGTCCATTCTATCTTGCAACTATCTTGACTTCCTCACCATTTAGATATTCTATAACTACACTATTTTTTCCCTCTTTTTGGTTTGTAGTTTGTCATCATTTGCCAACTGAGGTCTCTGGTTCCCTGTTGACAATCTTGTAAGCTTATCTTACTTTGGACACTTTCATAGTTGTGTTGGTTTCTGGATTATGTCATCTTGTCTATTAATGGTCTGTTGTTGTTTGGAATTTATTGGTTCTCTGCTCAAAGGACTCCCTTTAGTATCTCTTGTAAGATTGATCTGGTTTTAATAAATTCCCTTCATTTCTGCTTATCTGGAAATCTCCTAATTTTAGTATCATATTTGAGGGACAATTTTGGCAGGTATATAATTCTTGGTTGGAAATTCTTTTTCAGGGTTCTATATATACCATCCCATTGCCTTCTCACTTGCTTGGTTTCTACTGAGAAATCAGAGCTTATTCTTATTGGTTGTCCTTTGTGGGTGACTTTTCATTTTTCCCATGCTGCTTTCAGTATTCTTTCTTTGTCTTTGGTTTTGGTGAGTTTGATGATGATATGTCTTGGTGATTTTCTTTGGGGGTCTCTCCTGTTTGGGGTTTGTAGGACTTCCTGAATGGATATATTCTCATCTTTCATTATATCAGGGAAGTTCTCTTCCAACAAATCTTGGACAACTTTCTCAGTGGTTTTCTATTTCTCTTCCTGTTCTGTTGTTGTTGTTGTTATGCACCATCGAGTCGGACCTGACTCATAGCGACCCCTCCTTGGGTTTCCGAGGCAGTATCACTACGGAAGTAGATTGCCCCATCTTCCTTCTGAGGAGTGGCTGGTGGGTTTGAACCACCAGCCTTCTGGTTAGCAGTCAAGTGCCTTAGGCACTACCCTATTTCTTTTAATGTTATTCCACATGAACCTTAGGTTTTCTTCATTTTGTTTTGATCATTTCTTCTGGTTGATCCCTTTCCAATGAAGTATTCAGGTATTTGTCTTCAAATTTCTTTAATTCTGTCTTCCATTGTTTTGATTCTACTTCTTTGCCCTTTCAATGTGTTATTTATTTCTGAAAATTTAGTATTAATCTTCTAGATTTCTATCTGTAGATTTTCTATCATTTCATTTGTCATTCTGTTCTTATATTTTCTTCTGAAGTTGTTCTAGGGTATTGTCTGTGTTTTCCTTAATTTTGTGAGTGTTTTCCTTGATCTGTCTCTCAGTCCTTTGAAGATAACTAAGTATAATTGTTTTGAATTCCATATCAGGGAGTTCCAATGCTGCTTCTTCCTCAGAGATGTGTTCTGGGTCTGTATCCTGCTCCCTTGTTTCTACCACTTTGTCTTACTTCTTTGTTTGGACTGTATGGTCTGTCATCTCCAAGGCCTGGGGACATTGTTGTATTTAGATCTCTGTTAACTGTTTGTGAAGAGCAGTTAAGGGTGAGTCAGGCTCTTCTTGGTGGTCATTTATTGTTGGCTAGTTGGTGGAGAAGGAAGTGGTGGCTCTCAGTAAGTGGAGCTTCAGGACGTTAGGGTGTGGTTGTGTCATATGGGGATGGTTGCTCTCTCCAACTCAGACAAAAATAATGATCAAACAACCATCAAATGAGTGAAAGCAAGTGGACAAAAAACACACTGCATAAACACACAGGAACAATGACCAAAAAGAAAAGAAAAGAAAAAAAAAAAAAACCCTTCAATATCAGGGGAAGGGGGCAATAAGAGAAAAGAGGTAGGGTAGGAGAATAATGAAGGAAAAAAATGGGGAAAATGCAAAAAGAAAAACAAGAAATGGGGTTAACCACAAAATGAAAAACAAATGAGAATCAGGAACAGGGAAGAGAGAGAAAACTGAAAACAGGAAAGAGAAGAATGAAAAATAATAAGAAAGATGAATAATAATAATAACAGTAATAATTTTAAAACAGACAAAAACAAACAAACAAACAAAAAATCTGGGCAGGGCAGGGCACCCAGGCTCCGTCAGAGCACACAGACTGGGATGGAATTCCTGCCAGGCCAAAAGGTGGGTAGGAGTGAGGATGGTCACACCTTTGTTCACCAAGAGGGTGTGGGGTATAAGAATAACAAGGGGAATATTACACCTTTCCAGTCATTCATGTCCGGAATGTCCTTGCTGTTCCTGGCAAGTGAAGAATATTGTTAGGTTTCTGGAATCTGAAAGAACTCTGTCCCTTTAAATATCTAAAATGGTTGAACTGCTTATAAACATACAAAATGTCTGTACCCTCCAGACAGACAAAAGTCCCCAGCTCACCCTGTCTCCCTCTTCACTGCTTTCTCTTTTTTTCACCTGCCAGCAGTGCAGTCCTCTGTTCAGCCCCTGGCTAGCAGGGCCAATTTTTAGGTTAATTCTTAGGTCCTTACACTATTTGGCAACAGCCAAGCTGTCTATGCCATCAAGACCACTGACTGACCGTAGCTTTCTATGTTTCCTTTTTTGGTGTTTTCATGCAGGTTCTTCTACTAGTTGGGGTTTAGTCCCCTTCTGTATCCTTCTTGTCAAAGCTCAGGGCTCCAGGATTATCTTCTGTATCTGTATTAATTGGTTTCCCTTTTCTTTGTTGAAGAGGGTCGGTGTAGTTTGTCTGCCTATTCCACAATCTTACCCTAATATTGCATTTTTGAGAAATATAAGTTGCTTTAACTTGGCCTAAATTAAAGAAGAAGGGAATTTTTAGATGTTTAATAGATTTGAAGTAATTTGCTACAGAATGAACTCTCTACTTTTTTATATCCTTTAGGGTTTTCCAGGAGATATTGGGATTCCTGGACAAAACGGCCCTGAAGGACCAAAGGTAAAAAGAAAAAGAAAAACTGTACTAAAGGGTATGATATCTGGAGTTGTCTAATCTCAAATCTCAATGAATGAGAAAAAATGTTTTTACAAACATTCTAACATCTGTGTATATTTTGAGCCATCACTGTTGCATGTAATAAACTTTGTGCAGTTTGTTTCAAGATGAGCAGGAAGTAGTTTGCATGTCTGATATACCTTGAGTGTCCTTTGTTTATTAGGAGTATGTTGTAAATCTTGTAGTTTAATGTAATTGAAAATCATTTTCCTGGTTTAGTTCGGACTTGGCTTAGAGTGACAATTATTTGCAAAGCAAGGAAATCACTCAAAATGGATTTCTTAGAAGAGATTATAAATTCTTAAAAAGCCATTGTATACAATAAATGAAAGATATTTTTGTGGCTACTTAAACCCTTTACTAAACTCACTGCCATCAAGTCAATTCCATCTCATAGCATCCCCCATTAGGTTTCCAAGGCTGTAAATCTTTATGGAGGCAGACCACCTTGTCTTTCTTCCATAGAGCAGCTGGTGGGTTTGAACCACTGACTTTTGGTTAGTAGTCAAATGCCTTAACCTGTACACCACCAGAGTTCCTTCTAAAACCCTTTAAGGCCTATAAAATATTCAATGATTAAAATAAAGTCTCGTGGTATCCTAAAACCACTACATAGGACAAAATAACCTGAAGAAACCTAAGCATTTTTAACTGCTTTTGCTGTTGTTGTATATGTGTGTTGTTGTTGTTATGTCCCGTCAAGTAAGACCTGACTCATAGAGACCCCTCCTTGGGTTTCCGAGGCAGTATCACTACGGAAGTAGATTGCCCGATCTTCCTTCTGAGGAGTGGCTGGTGGGTTTGAACCGCCAGCCTTCTGGTTAGCAGTCAAGTGCCTTAGGCACTATGCTACCAGAGCTCCTGTTGTATATGTATATTAAACATTATCTGTAGCAAGACCTTAAATACTAAGTTTTGCCAGCCAAGCAGGTGTAGAATGGACATTGTAAGTAAATGGAGCATTGTTAATGAAGACATGGAAGGATAAGTTACCCTGATGTTTGGAGGATTGGCAAGTTACAAAGTATAGTTGGTATAGGAGGCACTGTGAGTAGAAAGAAAATGATAGATAATAAGATGAAGCTAGACAGGAAATTAATAATAGTTATATTTGTTAGAAGGAGCCTTGGTGGCATGGTGGTTAAAGTGCTCAGGTGCTAACCAATAGGTTGGTGGTTCAAACCCACCAGTTGCTCCATGAAAGAAAGATGTGGCAAACTATACAATAGGGTCACCATAAATTAGAACTGAATCAAAAGCAGTGGGTTTATATTTATTCATGTAATATAGTGGTTAGTACTATTGTTTTCGTTAGTTGCTGTCATTGACTCTTAGTCATGGTGACCTTTTGCATAACAGAATGAAACACTGCCCAGACCTGCACAATCTTCCAGTACCATATCAGGCAATATTCTGTTGTGATCTATAAGGTTTTCATTAGTTAGTGTTTGGAAGTAGATCACCAGTCTTTCTTGTTAGTCTGCCTTATGTAGTCTGGAAGCTCTGCTGAAACCTGTCCACCATTGGAAACCCTGCTGGTATTTGAAATACCAGTGGCATAACTTCCAGCATCATAGCAAAACACAAGTCACTACACTCAACAAACTGAAAGATGGATGATGGGACTAGTCTAGTATTATAGTAAATGCTTTACACAAATTATTTAATCTTTACAATAATATTTTGAGGTAGGTATTCTCCCTATCCACCACTCATCTGTGAGTTTGCCGTACTGTGGTGGCTTGCATGTTGCTGTGAGGCTGGAGGCTATGCAACCAGTATTTGAAATACTAGTAGGGTTACCCATGGTGGACTGGTTTCAGCAGAGCTTCTAGACTAAGACACATTCAGAAGAAGGAAGGGACCATCTACTTCTCAGAAAACTACCCAGTGAAACCTTATGAATAGCAGTGAATCAGTCTGGTGCATTACTGGAAAAATTTATGGATACCCCTGAAATATTTTCCAATATAGTGCCAGAAGATGAGCTCCTCAGGTGTGAAGGCACTCAAAATATGACTGGGGAAGAGCTGCCTCCTCAGAGTAGAGCCAACCTTATTGATATGGTTGGAGTAAAGCTTTCAGAACCTCCATTTGCTGATGTGACATGACTCAAAATGAGAAGAAACAGCTACAAACATCCATTAATAATTAGAACATGGAATGTACGAAGTATGAATTTAGGAAAATTGGTTGTCAAAAATGAAATGAAATGCATGAAGATCAATATTCTAGGAATTAGTGAGCTAAAATGGACTAGTGTTGCCCATTTTGAACTGGACAACCATATGATCTACTATGCTGGGAATGACAAATTGAAGAGGAATGGTGTGACATGTATTGTCACAAAGAATGTTTCAAGATCTGTCCTGAAATTCAGTGCTGTTAGTGATAGGATAATATCCATACCCCTACAAGGAACACTAGTTAATACTAAAATTATTCAAATTTACACACCAGCAACAATGCCCAAATGACAAATTGAAGATTTCCACCAACTTCTGCAGTCTGAAATTGACCAAACATGCAATCAAGATGTGTTGATTAACACTGGTGGTTGGAATGCAAAAGTTGGAAACAAAGAAGCATCACGGGTAGTTGGAAAATAAGGACCTGATGATAGAACTGATGCTGGAGATCATGTGATGGAATTTTGCAAGACCAAAGATTTATTCATTGCAAATACTTTGTTTCCACAACATAAACAGCGCTCTACATGAGGACTTCACCAGATGGAGTACACAGGAATAAGATTGACTACATCTGTGGAAAGAGGCATTGGAGAAGCTCAGTATCTTCAGCCAAAACAAGACCAGGAGCTGACTGTGGAACAGACCATCAACAGCTCATATGCAAGTTCAACTGGAAACTGAAGACAATTAAAATCAGTCCACAAGAGCCAAAATATGACTTTTATTATATTCCA